TGATATTGCAATCCTGCTTCAGGGCACAGCAAGAAGGAGGGGAGGAGAAGAAAAAAAAAAAAAAAAAAGAAAAGAAAAGAAAAAGAAAGAGAGAGATCTGGGCTGCCCCACAAAGCCCCCAATGCAAAGCCAAGAGACCAGTACCACGGGAGGCCAGACTGCAGCCTGCTATACCTGAGTCCCTCCCATATGAGCCTGTCATCTGCAGACATCTCTACTCATGCTCTTAGCCCCACCATGAGATGCTCGCTGGGGGTGTCACAACACTTCTTTTCCTCTTATTGCCACATGGGGATTGAGGAGGTGGGATGTTAAAAGGCTGGGAATAGCTGCCATAGAAACAAGCCTGAGGTTCCTGGACACAGCACCTGCAACTGTAATTGAGGAAAATACTAGAACCAAGTGACACTTCCATCTATTCAGAGACTAAACAGGGGTATGTGTGAGTGTGTGTGTATACATATACACAGACAATTTGTATATATACTCCCTACACACAGTGTGGGTATTATGTCTGTATGCATATATATACACACATACACACTATGTATCCATCCGCAAAGAAACTCTTCCATCCTTTTTTAAACACAAAGTCAGTATTCTGCTGCTTCTACTTTCTCCCTCGTGGATTCTCAAGCAGAGATTGAGTCACAACAGTTTGAGTTTCACGCAGAATCTCTAAATAAGCTTAAAGTTCTTAATATATAAAAAAATCATAGTGCTGCTTTAGTTACTTCTCCAGCCAGCTGAAAGGAATTGATTTTTCTCTTGACCTCTACCCATTTTTAAAGGCAAAAACACTAGCTACACCCTCCTGAATAAAAGAGAATTAGCAAATCATTGACGGGACAGCAAATCATCAACAGGACAGCCACATGAAGAGTGTTCAAAAGCACTGCAGGAATTCAAATCATACACTCCAGTCCCTCTGAGATTAAATTGCGAAGGGATGCATGCGTCCATGATGCTATTTTGTTCCTAAACCCTACTGAAACAGCACTGGCTGGCCTGCAAGGAAGAAGGTGGCAGTGTTGCAGCCAGCATGATGTAAGGACATTGGCAAGACAAAGTTTGTAGGCCATGGCAGTATCTTTTGAAAGATATTGTCTGGAAAAAAGACAAAGTTCTGGGAACACAAAGGCCTGAAATACAAGCAGGAGACTGGAAAGCTGTACACAAACCAACAAGTGCTCAGACCTCTATCAATTCAGTCACCTTGGAGAGAAAAGTTAGCTGTAGTTTTGTGAGGTAAAGGGGTGAGAAAGGGGAAGCAGAGTTGATACAGTAATTTTTTCCTAGGAGAAAAAGAGGTAGCTGGTAACCTCTTTCCACATGACAGAGATGCTAGTGAGGAGAAAGGAAATTTATCATGTAGCCATTAAGCCAGTATTCCCTTCTGCGTTTTGGTATTTACTGGAGTTTTGAATTTATTTCCCAGGCTTATCCTCGAGAAGCATCCTGTTCAGGGAGACTGACGTTTACCTGCAATTCCTCTCCGAGGCACCAGGGAAGCTGCTGTACTGAGATCCAGTACCTCACCTCCAGACAGAACGGGGCAGACAGGGAGAAAGATGGGCATAGTGAAAACACGTAAGAGAAGGGGAGAGTTAAATTGGAGGAAACCATTACTCATAGTTTGGAAGTTATACAGCTGCAATGATTTCCAAAGCAAAGACCGTTTCCAGCACACCAGAAGAGTCAAAAGAAATAACAGTTGTCAACAAATGAATCTATGATGGATCTGATGCCTGGAAGGAGCCCAAGTTGCAGTAAGAGATAGGTGCTGGTAGACACCAGGAGAGGGTACTTGTTCCTTCCACTTCTGTCCTTCAAGGCAGCTCACATGGACTTGTCTATAGACCAGGATGAGCCCTTGCATGTTTATTTGCTTTAACCCTCTCCAAGAAAAGTGACTAAAAAGGATAACATTTCCACTGGCCTCAGCTGCTGTAAAAACCTGCCCTTAACATGTTCAGATCCAAGCTGAAATGACAGTATGTCTTTAAAAACAAACCAGCAGCAATGAGGTAATATGCTGAACTCTATCCCTTGATCCCCATCAGAGTGCTCTGCGCTCTGTGCAGGTGGCAGCGTGTTCTTGAAGGAATTCAAATAGATCCCAAACAAACAAACTCGTTCAGGGAGGTTTTGGGGGGAAAACACAAACAAAAAAACCCCGAGTGAGTCACGTGCAAAACCCAACTAAAATTCTGCTTTTCAAGGCAAGCACAAGAATCCAGGTCCAGTTGTTCTCTACTTAACATCAGACCTGAACTTACAGTGTTTTCCAAACTTATAAAAGTCAACTAATGCTATGCAATTTACTTAAAGAAAAGAAGACATTTGCATTGGGATATTGCATAGAGGAGGGCCTGGAGTAGCCACGTTCCAGTTGTATAGGGCTAAGAAATAGGAGACCCAGTTTGCTTCTAGAATACTTGCTACACAGTGTATTTCTGTGTGCACGCCTTTCCTCCTAGCTAAACAGCGTGACTGTTTCTGCCAAAGCCCAGCATCAGAGCGCTCCATCTCCAGCCTTCTTATGCCCCTAGACCAGATCCTACACTAAATCTAAGCTATGGGATTTCTTAACAAAGAATGGACATTCATCTAGTCCAATAAATCACCCTCAATGTAAAGTCAGAAAGGAGAGTTATCAGCGAGACCTGTCAAACAATAAACATTAAACAAACTAAAACATTCAGAATTCAAAACTGAAAAGGCACAAAACTGGAATTACTTTAATCCAGCAGCCAATTGGATTAAACTTTTTAACCACATCAGCAACAGAAAGTTTTTCTTGTGGTAAAGACTTTATACGACACTTGCAAGGGGATTTTCAGCCTCCCCAGTACATGCTTTCCTAAACAATCAATCAAGTTCTGCTTTTAAAATGTTGTGGCTCAGCCTGCCAGTAGCTCCTGTGCCTTAAAGTGCAGGTTTTCTTAGCACTAGAGAGGA